AGAAAATGGAACAGGATTGGACAGACACCATTGAAGAGACCCTGGAATGACATGGCGCGCCAGGGTAGTGCTCGAGTAGAAAGCAAATGGGCTGTCACATTGAGAATGACATGGATGTGATCATTTGGGGAGGGGGAGATCAGATATTAATGGCAATCGTCGACCCAACTAAAGAGGATCGTAGAGAATAAGATAAAGTGGAGAAGTGCTATTACTGATGCCCTATGTACCACTCGCAACCCAACAGAACAGTAACAATAATAATAATACGTTATGGAGGCACATTTAGTGTGAGACGGTTGACGATATTATCCTACTGAGTTGCTCAATGTAATTAACTATGTAGGAGCAGTTAAACTACTACTAAGTACACTTGAAGGAGGCAGAAAAAGACAGTTTCTGTTTATTTCTTTAACTGAGTATTGGTTGGTTGGTTGGCTAGTGAATAAACAACGTAACTTAGCAGTGTTAAAAGACCCTTTGTAGGCCCTTCTCAGGTGCTGTGATAAAATCTCATAGTTAACATCTCCTATGAATAACGATTTGAGAAATACTGATATTTTCCGAACTATGGGGTAACCTGGACCATTTACTTGCTAAATCCATATGCGCTTATTCAAAAACTTTCGTCGGATATCCGTTTCTATTTGATAAAGATTACGACTAACACCAAGTTCTTCGGTGAGTGTTACTTTGACACAACCGACTACATGATATGTATTAAGTTTTAAAGGCGATCCTTCCCCCCCCCACCCCTTTCCCTTTTAACTATCTTATTCTGGGACTTTGTTATTGAATTATCATTACAATTCTAGCTATATCCAGCAAACATGTTTGTATCTTGGACTTCTCACGTAATTCTACTTAGTCATCATTACTTAGCGAATTGCTTCACTATGTAATAATTTGTTGCTAACCCCTACAAATTAACCGATCTTGAATTTTGCAGTCCTTTTCACTCTTCCCCCCCCCCTTTAAAACTTAGATATCTTGTCACTAACATATACTTATTAATGATTCTGAGGATTCTTGATTTCAACTGTTATAAATTTGTCACGAAACAACACTAGCTAGAGAGACTACTGAACATTATCAGGGAGCACAATTCACAGCCGTTTCATCCTATTTTGGCACATAGCAAAAATCCCCAACTAAAACCCCACCAAACATTCAACTAGGAATCTTCAGTTTACATGAGCAAGCTCGCCGACCATTCAGCAACTTGAGATGGAATTCAATGACCCTTCAAATTCTAAATCAGTCAATTCATGTGTGTTATAGCGCTATCTTAAACAATGCCTTCGATGAAGATCCACCTCACACCCCAACATGGCGGACCCCACTGGTTTCGACTTCCCCCTGCAGTTTCAGGCAATTTTTGAATGTCTGGCGTACGATTCCCTCCTGTCAAATGTAAGATGATGCTGCAGGAATCGACTATACTGACTCTTACCTAACTTAAAGATAAGGAGTGAAGTGGTGGAGCTTCTTGACTACTTCACTTACTTCGGAAGTTGTATCAGCCTGGCGCAGTGGGTTCACCACTGAAGACATCTCACCACGGATAGAAAAGCCTCACTCAGCATTTTCTGAATTGCGTCATCTCTGGAGTAAAGATATTATCCGGCTGTCGACAACTTCACTCTATCCTATTTTATCACTGTCAGTGAAGCACCGCCATTGAAAGTGGAAGACACAAAAAGCCAGTCTAGCTAGCTATCTTTGATCATAGGTGTCTGCCTTCTGTCTACATCACATTATGTTATGTGGTACGATGGAGTGAGTGATAATGAGATCTTAGTGAGGCATCATCGGTCGAGTGCTAGCTAAGGAGGGAAAATCAATCGATGGCGTTGTGAGGTTATTACATCGATTGAGTGAAGATGGTTAGAACATGTATCGTGCATGCCTTCTAGCCATCGATCGCCTTCCTTGACCGACGGGCAATGTTAGCTGCTGGCATAGGATCGTCGGTGAGGTTGGAAAAGAGCTAGCTAGTTAGTGGTGGTCAAAAGAAAATATGGCTTCATCAGTCAGTGGAGTCCATAACAGTTCCTTTAAGCCAGTTCATCAGTCAGCCATCCGCGACGTAGGGACGTATAGTCAGTGTAGCTGGTTGGGATCCTCAGGATGGTAAGAACCAATGAAGGTTGGAGACATGGCTGGCTGGCTAACTGGTGAAGATGCATTCACTCTTTGTGATTTGTCATCATATCCAGTAGAACTCTACTGTTCTTCCACATAACTAGTATTCTTTTTCACTCACTCACACTTGTGTTTATTATCTCTTTTTTGTTGAACCTCCCTCTACTCTTTTGTCTTGCGTTAATTGTGGTAGATGGAAGGAGAGTGGGAACTCAAACTGGTGCACATCTATGGAATGTTCTATGTTGTAACTAGTTATTCATTCAGGCAATCAGCCAGTATAAATCTCGAAACAATGCGTAATTCAACATTTTCCATACATTCGAATTTGCTTGATTTAGATAGTTACAAAATCCCTGAAAACGAACTTTAAAAATGGAGTATTTTAATTTTATTTTTCTCAACAAAAACAGAAGTGTTATCTTTTCAAGTAGTGTTATCCACCTTTATGATCCTTCAAGACGATAGATCATTTTTGTTTATATGCATATTGATAAGCTGATTTCGCAAGAGTTGATTTATAAGGATTAGATTTGTTTTACGAGTTTGACCACGGATTGATATCAGTTAGAGAACCATTGGAAACCACAGCTGAGAGTACTGGACAGCTGTTTCATCTGCCTAGCTTGGGAATCATCAGCGGTACGCACCCCCACTACAAGGCAAGCTCGTATACCATTCGGTCACTGGGACTCGATTAAATGGCCAGTCCATGAATCCTGACTTCTACCAATTGGTGATTTAGCGCCATCAGCAACCGATATCATCGATAGGAAATCCATTCTCACTATTGATTGGATGGAACCTCCATCCTGTAACAATCCGTGGTCATACTCGAAAACAAACCTAGTTCTTAGAAATCAACTCTTGAAAATTAATATGATGTTCGCTACTGATCAGCAACAGGGATCTTTGGGAACGAACCAACCAGGAACCGATTGTGAAACAAATAGGCAGGAGGAAATGGAGATGGATTGGCTGGCCATACTCTGAGGAAACAAGCCATCAAGTGAGTGACATCACTAGACAAGCCATTGCTCGAGTGGAACCCGAAAGGGAAGTGGCGAGTTGGTCGTCAGTGGGGGGATGACTTGGAGGTCATGTGAAGAGGAGATGAAAACGTGTGGGCAGACATGGAGCCAGGTGAAGACTCTAGCAGAGAACCGAACGCAATGGAGACGCATGGCTGAAGCCCTATGTTCCTCTAGGAATTAAAGGAAACAATAATAATAATAATTATATATATATATATGCTTTATGGATAGATGGCACTCAATACATACATCAATATACACACACACACTCACACATACAAACACTGACACTCTATACACAAAACACATGGCATGTGATAGAACAATAAAAAATGAAGAAATAAATAGTTTCCACATAAATAACAACAATAATAATAACAACAGAAAATGAAATACGGGTTAAAGGAAATAAAGCAACACAGAGAGAAAGAAAGAAAGAAGAAACGAAAAAAGGCATAAATAATAATAATAAAGAACCAAGGCATTACTGGAAGTCATTCACACGTATATATATATATATATATATATATATATATGCACACGCATATACACACACAGAGACAAAAAGTGCGCCAATAACAATACATGAATTAAAACAGACAAATTCAATTCAATATTCAATATTATAACAAACAATCGCGAGAAAAGACAAAAATTGCAAGTCAATGAAAAGTAAAAAAGAAACACTGAAACATCATACATAACACAACATAAACGATCGCGATCAAGTAAGCAAGTAGTATCAGGAAGTCAACTATAAGCTGTATAAAGTAACTATCTTAAATCAAGCAAATTCGAAGGTATGGAAAATATTGAATGAAGCGTTGTTTCGAGATTGATACTAACTGACTGACTGACTGACTGACTGACTAACTAGTTTCAACATAGAACTTTACACAGATGCGTAGCAGTTCCAGTTCCCACTCTTCTTCCATCTATCACATTCAACGCAAGACGAAAGAGTAGAGGGAGGTTCAACAAAAGAGTGATAATAAACACAAGTGTGAGTGAGAGAAAGAGAATAGTAGTCATATGGAAGAAGGATAGAGTTCTAGTGGATATTATGACAGATCAGAGTCAATGCATCTTCGCCAGTCAACCAGCCGTATCACCGATTGTATCCAGACTTCATTGGTTCCTACCATCCTGAGGACCCCAACCAGCCACATAGCGTATACCTCCCTACATCGCGGCTGACTGGCTGAAAGTGACTTCCGAAATAAGTGAAGTGGTCAACAAGCTCCATCACTTTACTCCTTATCTTTAAGTTAGGTAAGAGTTGGTGTAGTTCATCCTGTAGCGTCCTCTTACATTTGACAGGATTGAATCGGATACCAAAGATTCGAAGATTTTCGCTCAGGGTATTCTGAAGACTTTGGATTTTATCACCGTCTTCAAACTCTAAGTTGATAAGACACTTGCCTGGTAACAAGTCACTGATGTTAATTAAGGTTAGTTTTATCACTACATCTATGATGAAATTAGACAGAAATAGGAACAGTGGACACCGCTGACGAACACCACTAGTTGTCAACACTTCATAAGACAACTCTGCATAAGTTTTTACACGGTTGAGTAAGTTTGGGCATTAGAAGTGCCTTGATAAGTGCTCCCTTCATGGCCCTCGTCGTCCAATGAGCAACACTTTGATGCCAGAAGCTATGGGTAGTTTCAGTGGGTACACCATCAATCTCACCGCGGAATAGACACATGAAAAGTTGACGAGTCCCAAATGGTATGATAAAGAGGAGTCATTCAAAAATGAAAAAGAAATTGGGGGGTGGGAAAAACCAACCAATCAATAAAAACACAATTACTTACTCTGTGAGAAATTAGCTGTAGGATATTTTGATGAATTTTGCTGTGATATTGATGACATCAAGTGTTTTTGACGATGATTAATCCATTCACCCCAGAGATCTTTCTCTTCACCAAGTTGATGACACCAAGCAGTACGTGAAGGGCTATTCACAGTCACTTCCATATCATTTGCTGGAATAACATCATGATTGCCCAAAACAGGTAGAAGATAGACCTCGTCAACTGGAAAGGCTTGTTTCAATGCTTTAGTGAGCAGTCGAATACCGTCTAATAATTGATCAGATGTTAAACTGTCATCATGTGGTCCATTATCGCTGGTGGGTGGGTGTTAACAAGAAATAAAGCAAAAAGGGTCAATTACTAATGGCAAATGTAAAATGAAACTTGTAAAAAGTTTCCGCACGATTGTGACTCATTATACCTGAGTTGTGATTTTCTCAACATTTCACAACCACAGGGAAACAATCAATGGCTGGTAGGGTGTTCTATATCATTTATAACGTCTCCCTTCATGAGTTTCAAGTAAATTTCATCACTTATTGATGAAATGAGTGTCTGTATTCTACCGGTATGATGGGAGAAGATCAGAGACTTGGTAACGGACCTTTATTACTATATTTATGCAACCTTAGCCACAATAAAGATCGGCTAGATTAGAGGATAACAAATTGTTCCGACTATGATAGGCGAATGACCCAAGGCTAAGTAAATTGTCCAATGAGGTTATTTCATGTCCACAACGTAAACTAAATACAGATTTGAGGAATAAACCAAACAGTACACTGGAAAGCTGTTTCGTCCTATTTTATGACACCAGGGATCGAATCAGCGACCTTCAGACAAAAAGAGTCAAAACTTGCTGACAATACATTCAGACCAAATCCTCAAGAATCTCATAATTTGCACATCTGTCTGTTCAACTCAGTGATGGCTACCGGGTGGATGTTATTGAAGATGTGGTGAAAAGTCGTAAGCAGTGGGGTTCAACATTTCAAGGTAAAGCAGATGCGCTCAACAAATGCTTTACCGAATGTTGCGCTATATCACTGTCAGTTGACGAAATAAGAATTCAGGAGTCATTAAACCTCAGAACAAGTGACTGAATGATGAACGAGCTTGATTTCACAAAATAAAGGTCTTGAGTTTCATCCCAGGTGACATAGTGAGTTCGCACTGAGGAACAATCCTAAAATAGGACGAGACAGCTGTTACGTAACGCTCTTGATCTCTCTCTAAATGATGTTGGTTCTATTAATTGAAATTCCAGTTACACTTCACTAGGCGGCGACATTGGTTAAAAAACTATTGAAAAACCATAGAGAACTGGATACAGCTGTCTCATCCTGGTATGCACTCATGATCTCACCAAGAATAGAACCTACGACCTGAATATCACCAGGGCAGATCACTGACCATTCAGATACTGAGTTGGAATTCAATAATGATAGCTTTATTCTAGACAGTGGCTGCAATATAATGTACAGAATTTTCAGCAGAATTTATTGCAGTTTTGGCTGCGTCCAGGATCTTCAAGGAAAATATTAATTGTATGGAGGATTTCATCATGAGCTGACATCAGTTAGAGAACCACTGGAAAACCTGGGAGTACTGGACAGCTGTTTCGTCCTAGTTTGGGACTCTTCATCAGTACGCACCCACCGGGACTAGGACGAAACAGCTGTCCAGTACTCCCAGGTTTTCCAGTGGTTCTCTAACTGATGTCAGCTCATGATGAAATCCTCCATACAATCAAACAAAATCCCTACCAAACCAATACTTGAAAATATTAATTGACAGTAGGTCGCTTGACACAATGCCGTCTAGTCTGAAGCACCAAACCACCAATCCCTCATGATATTACTTCTTCGTCTCCTTCAGAGGAATGTCATAAGACCCAAGGACATAACTCAGGAACAGAGGTATCTCATGCATTGGGATACATTGCTGTCCACGAGTATGCTTTTACCCAAGTCTAGTAGAAACTAACAAAACCATCAGGTTGTAAACATTTTAAATACCCGCGAGAGTAAATAACACCATTAGAAATGATATTTTAGTAGATTAAAACAATATGAACATGAGAAATAAGATACAATATAATCATGAAGGTATCTGGTAACCTAAGATAACCGCCAAAATTCTAACTTCTGCTAATTCGTGAAATATATCGCGCCACTACTAGTCAATTTAATCATCTCCGACTATTTGTTCATCCCATTCCTCAACAAGTGCGTCGGTGGCTCAACGGTAGGATGCTGGCTGACCATGTACGTAGTCCGGGGTTCTATCCCTTTATCTCCGCCGAGCCGGTTGTAAAGCAGACAAAGAGGGGAGGTGGGGTGTGAGACTAGCAACCCCACTCCGTAAAAAGAAAAAAATACCACTGCTACGGAAACTTCAAAGCCCGTGTATGAAGTCCTATGTTCCACTCGGAACGCAAAGGAATAAAAATATTTTTTTAATTCCTCAACGAGTTCATATTACAATTCTCCAAGAAGTTCATCCTATAGTCTTCACAGCCACTAATGGTACTCTAATATAAACTTTAACAAATCCCTGAAAATTATCATTATTATTATTGTTCTCTTGGGTTCTGAGTGGAACATAGGGCTACGCTAGAGCACCTCCTTGTCCTCTCTTTAGCTGGTCGCACAATTTCCCATAGTCTCTCATCTTCTCTTTATATGATCTCATCCATATCACCACTGGGGCTACACCCAACTTGCCGTTTCCCTATCCATGTTCAAATAGAGCATGTGTCTGGTACGCGATGTCATCTGACGACTTCAGTATGTGTCCACCCCATCCGCATTTTCTTAAAAATATTTGTTGAACGACAGGTTCTTGGTTGGTCCTCTTCCAGAATTCCCCCTGTTAATAATCTTTTCTGATTGGTCGTCTGACCTTCAATATGGAGCCATCTATGGCAGCTGTTGATAAAAGTTTGCGGTTGCCTGTTGGAAATACTTTTGATAAGACGCCAAGTTTCTCACCCATATAAAAGAACTGACTGACATAACATTGGTGTTGAAAATCTGAATCTTGTTCTTTATGCTACGGAGTGAAGCAGATTTCCAAACTGATATCAGAGTGATGAAGACTCGCCTTGCCGATTCTGATCTTGGCATCCTCAACCCCGCCACCTTTAGTCAAAAAGATGCTGCCCACCAGATAAACACAAGAAGTAAACTTTTTCAAATTTGGTTGGAGGATTTTATCATGAGCTGACATCGGTTAGAGAACCATTGAAAACCCAGCAGGGAGTATTGGACAGCTGTTCCATTTAGCCAGTTTGGGAATCATCGGCAGTACAAACCCACTGGGGTTCGAATCCAGTAGCTTCTGGTTACAAGCTGAGCTCGTAAACTATTAAGCCACCGGGACCCGATCCAATGGCCAGTTCATGATTTGACGCGACCACTTCGCAATGTCTTCTTCGATGAGTAACTGTCCTCACCTTCAACCTGCTGTACCCTACTGGTTATGACTTCCCACTAGAACCTCAGGTGACTACCCACCTGAATACGGCCAGTCTTTAGTGAGCATCAGAGCAATTTTAAAGTATTGGTTTTGTAGGGATACTGTTTGATTGTTTGGAGGATTTCATCATGGGCTGACATCAGTTAGAGAACCATTGATGTCAGCTCATGATGAAATCCTTCAACTAATCAAACAAAATCCCTACGAAACCAATACTTGAAAATTTTTCAAATTTGTTCCATTGATAGTGATTGTCGCTAGTTGTTGGTTGGTTAGTTGGCTATCTTCATCACTTCCTCCCTCTTCTCTACATTCAAACTTGAAGTTCCATCGTCACTGTCTGCTCCTTTGGATGGTTTACCCTGTAATTCTTCGAGTGTGCATGACACTAGACGTAAATCGCTCGCGAAATCAAGATCTTCTAGAGTCCATAAATTAGCACTTGAAAAAGCGGATTTACGCCATAGAATATCCACCTCATCAGCGTGACAATATTGCTGAACAAATAGTTATGAATTGGACACACACTGAGGCAGCTGACGAATGACATCACACATCAGGTCATCGCTTGAGTTGAACCCAAATAGGAAACGACGACTGAGTTGTCACATCCAAGGTAACATGAAAGAGATCGTGTGAGCCGAAGGAAATGAGAGACTATAGACAATTGTGTGGCCAGTCAAAGTGGACAACAGAGAATAGAATAAAGTAGAGATGTGTTGTTGAAGCCCCATATATTTCACTCAGAACCGAAGGGAAGAACAATAACAACAATATCATCCGTATGCTTACTTTTATTAGGACTTTCTGACAACAACCATCCTTACTAACTGGAAGACTGACTTGTGATGATAAAATCAATATTTGATTGTTCTATCTCTGTTCAAATAACGGATAAAAGGCCGAATAACATTTCCCGATAACATTTAGTTAAGAAAAGCAAGTTAATCAGTCGTGCTGAAAACCTTTCACTCAATACATCCACACACAGGTATATGCGCGGATACATAAAGTTAATTAACAGGATTGTTAAGGATAATTAGGCTTGGAATGAAGTGAATAAGAAAAGCACAGGAAAACGGATTACTTAAGAGAGGAACTGATCGGAACAGACATAAACTCTGGTCAATTCGAATGTCAAAAACGCTATGATAATATAATACAATTAAAACAATTAGTCTCTTTGATAAATTTGAATAAGACATTTAGAAAACAAATTTCGAGAGAGATGATATCGTCACTTCTTAGTTTCTCTACAATCAATCGCTTTACAACTAACATGGTTAGTTCACAATAATCAATTAAGATAAAATGCATGACAATTACTCAGTTATATAAAACAATAGTACATACTAATTACTCATATCTTCATTTCACCAGTTTTGTTCCTAACCAGTATAAACGTTCACTAATGAAATATTTATTTTCAAGGGCCCACAAAATATGTACGAGCGACACGTTGATGGATGGATGAGCTTTGACACATACATTTTCTTTTATTAACTAATGGTTATCCAGAAAACTTTATCAATTGTCACACTAAGGATTGATCATATCTAGAAAAGACAGCTTCTGTACCAAAGAAAGCTATCTTTACTAACCTACCACTCAAGGGTGACCAGATTATGCACTTGACAGCTCAAAGACTTCGGTTAGCCATCAGACGCACATTCTACACCACATCTCTTTCTCTCACATCTCGAAAATTTCTGATCCCTGTACCTACGATTAAAGGATGAAATTCTGTGTACTCTACTGCAGTGGCGGTGACAATTATATGAGTAGAACCAATAGAATGTTCCAACGTCGTCGAAAAGAACATGCTCCAGAATGG